TTTTTATCTGGACATGTAGATCATCATGAGGACAAGTAGATTGGGGCACCGATTTAGTCCCTGGACAAGTAGTTTTTTTCAAAAATTTCCACCCCCCTGAACCCTACTATTTACTCCTTTCTGACCCTTTTGTTCTCTGGAATGCACACAAGGTGTACATATGTGGTATCACTCTAAAATTGTGTACACGGGCTAAAAGACAAAAACGATCAGCGCATTGGCAATCTCTTTTTTGAAATTCAAGCTTTAGAAGATAAATAGAACAAGGAATTGCCTGATCAAGCAATATCCTCTACCTTGACTAAACTTAGGCACGAATTACAGAGTTTATTGTGTGAGCAGTACGATAGGTACACCAGAAACCTAAAACGTAACTATTACAGTAGTGGTAATAATGCTGGAAAATTCTTGGCCCAGAGAATCGAGACCTAGACAACCAAGATCAAAATTTCATATTTTAATCCGGCTGATAAACGTAACATTATAAACCCTAAGCAGATTGCAGGCTCATTTGCAGATCATTAGAGCACCTTATATAATCTAAAAGAGAATACACAAACACCTCAACCATCGGATACCAGTAGAGCTGCATTCTTGTATACACTAAACCTACCTAAACTTGCCCAGGTGCAAGATCTTAAAGCTTCATTGACATGCCCTGAATATAGCAAAATGATAGATTTCCTTCCTAACTGTAAATCTCCAGCCTAGACGGGTTCTCTAGTGATTATAAACCATTTAAACCCCTTCTTAGCCCTCACCCTAACTATTTTTGTACTAAACCTGCCTCAACTGCTTGCTTTCACCTGAAGATGTTTAAGGCCTTTATCATCACCATACCTAAGCCAATCTCATTACTGAACACAGATGCCCAAATTTATGCAAAGATTGTAGCTAGATGTCTGCTTGACATCCTCCCTACATTGATCAAACCTAACCAATTGGATTTTACACAAGCTAGACAGGCGGATAATGCTACCAAGAGAATCCTAAATGTAGCCCACTTTGCTGAGACCAAATGTGTACCTTCTCTGCTTCTCTATCTTGATGTAGAGAAAGGCATACAATAGAATCTATTGGGACTACATGACTCAAGTACTACCCAAATCTATACCACAAATATGTTATCTCAAACATTTTGTAATACCAATGGCACCCATCATGGATGTCCACTATCTCCTTTTATTTTTAATCTCCACGGCAGAGGCTATTTGCTTGCACTCAGGTATAGGGAGCTTTACTTTTCAGCAACAACTGGATAAGATGAATCTTTTTGCCAATGATGTTATCATGCTTCTGATACATCTAATGAACTCTCTGCTTAAAGCACAATGCGTACTAACACTTTTTAGTACACTATCTTGCTATAAAGTGGAGTTCTGCAAGTCATTGATACTTGATTTAGGTATTGACCCATATCTTGGAATTACCTTAACACCTAAAACTGCAATGTTAGCCGATTTAAGTAATACGTTACTTATAGAAAAATTGTCTAAATAAGCTTTGAACCTGGCTTAATTTGACTTATACTAAATTGCCAAAAGTATTGGGACGCCTGCCTTTACACGCACATGAACTTTAATGGAATTCCAGTCTTAGTCTGTAGGGTTCAATATTGAGTTGGCCCACCCTTTGCAGCTATAACAGCTTCAACTCTTCTGGGAAGGCCGTCCACAAGGTTTAGGAGTGTGTCTATGGGAATGTTTGACCATTCTTCCAGAAGCACATTTGTGATGTCAGACACTAATGTCCGACGAGAAGGCCTGGCCCGCAGTATCCACTCTAATTCATCCCAAAGGTGTTCTATCAGGTTGAGGTCAGGACTCTGTGCAGGCCAGTCAAGTTCCTCCACCCCAAACTCACTCATCCATGTCTTTATAGACCTTGCTTTGTGCACTGGTGTGCAGTCACGTTGGAACAGGAAGTGGCCATCCCCAAACTGTTCCCACAAAGTTGGGAGCATGAAATTGTCCAAAATGTCTTGGTATGCTGACGCCTTAAGTGTTCCCTTTATTGAAACTAAGGGGCCAAGCCCGACCCCTGAAAAACAACCCCACACCATAATCCCCTCCATCAAACTTTACACTTGGCACAATGCAGACAGGCAAGTACCATTCTCCTGGCAACTGCCAAACTCAGACACGTCCATCGGATTGCCAGAGAGATCACTTCAGAGAACACGTCTCCACTGCTCTAGAGTTCAGTGGCAACGTGCTTTACACCACTGCATCCAACACTTTGCATTGCACTTGGTGATGTAAGGCTTGGATGCAGCTGCTCAGCCATGGAAACCCATTCCATGAAGCTCTCTACGCACTGTTGTTGTGCTAATCTGAAGGCCACATGAAGTTTGGAGGTCTTTAGGTACTGACACTGCAGACAGTGGGCGACTTGTGCTTCAGCATGTGCTGCCCCAATCTGTCATTTTACATGCCCTACCACTTCATGGCTGATTTGTTGTTGTCTCGAGTTACATCCACTTTGTTATGATACCACTAACACTTGACCATGGAATATTTAGTAACAAGGAAATTTCACAGATGGACTTATTGCACAGGTGGCAACCTATCACGGTACCACGCTTGAATTCACTGAGATCCTGAGAGCGACCCATTCTTTCACAAACATTTGTAGAAGCAGTCTGCACGCCTAGATGCTTGATTTTATACAAAAGTACAAACAAAACCAGCGCTCAAACTGCAGACTAGAAGTAATTTTGAATGTCAAACGTTGAGGTGCAGCCCTTCAAAGATCAGGAAATCTTGGTACTGGTAGACAAAAGCAAACAAGGGCATACTCTCATCGTGCCTTACCATGGTACACCACGAATTTATTTAGAAAACACATAGATGTATACTCACAAACTAAAGACAATAAAAACAGAGCAGATAAATCCGTAATGTCAGTCCAATGGAATACTAGACCCTTGTAGAGAAAGGCTTGTTTGCCCTTGTTTGCTTGATTTTATACACCTGTGGCCATGGAGGTGGACTGAAACACCTGAATTCAATGATTTGATTGGAGGCGTGTCCCAATACTTTTGGCAATATAGTTTATCTTGCTAAAATGGATTTGCATTCTTTAAAATGCTTCTCTTTACTCAAATGCTTTAGGACTCCCTACCGATCCCTCTTAAGTCTCCGTTAACTGAATACTCTACTTAATTTATTTGGAATAATAAAAAAGCCTGGGTTGCCCATTCACATTAAACAGGAAATTTTGAGGAATGGGATATATATCGATATTAAAGATGACTATAAATCAGTTAATTTGCAGCAGCTTAAATACAGTTTTAAGCCATCTCCTGATATAACATGTCACAAATTGAGAAACCCTTAGTACCTACAATTGATCTTTATTCCTGCCTAATGACAGATCTTTGGCCACCCTTTGACATGATGGTATTACAATCAATTGTGGCCTGGAGAACTCTACTCTATATCCTGAGACTACCCCCAAACTAGTCCCATTCCTGTACCTATTTAGAGTATTTGAAACCCTTATACTTCATATGTCAGTCAAATTGTGGTATGATAAAGGTATTACTGTCACTGTAGAGCACACTCTCAAAAGCCTGGAAAAGCTCACTGAATTTGGCCTCTCAAATTTCAAATATTTGAAGTAATCTGCAGACAGTACATTACCTAGTAATACGTCTAAATAGAACAGTGAATCCTGAGTAGACTTGGCAATATTATACTTCCACCACACCTAACAGGAAAGGCATATCTCTATTACATAATAAGGTGTCTTGACAAAACAACTCCATTTATGAAAAGGGAGTTTGATTTAGCCACTATCAATACTTTATTAACCCAAAACATTACACTGAGAAGGTATCTAACCCCATTTTGACTGGCCAAAATGATCTTCCTCAGGTTAACCCCTTAGCTGGAGAGGATGCAGGTCTGTGGGCAATTTAATGCACATTTAAAGGAAATGTAGAAACCTTATCAGTTTCTGGTGAACAAGTTTCCAAATTATATCAGAGGTTACAGGAATATTTGTTACACCAACACCACCACTAGCTATTTTAAACCTAGCAATCAATAAATATCCTGTTCATATTCGAACACTTATTACTCATACTTTTAGCTGCTAGAATAATAATCACCAGACACTGGAAGCAAAAGCTAGCACCTAATCCATCTGAAAACCATTGATTTGGTCAAAACATATTATGGGTTAGATGTACTATAACTGGTACACAAAGAATCTGGTGCAGCTGTGCATTGTAACCAATCAGCTTCCAGGTTTTCTTGGCAAAGCTTAACTGAACAAGCTGAAGTTACAAGCTGATTGGTTACTATGCACAGCTGCACCAGATTCTGGGTGCACCAGTTTTAGTAACTCTCCCCCTATATGTATGAAAGGTTATTAGCTACGAGACAGCTTTCACTCACTTTGAAATGGCTTGGAAACCTTGGATTCTGTGGATTGAGCAGTATAAATGTCCAGAAACTACCTTATACTGTATCTTTTTGTTGCTTTACATTTTGTAGACCCTGTGCTGCTAAGATCATTATTTTCTGTATATTTTGCGTGTTTTTGTTGTAGACATATCTGCCTTTTAAGGCGCAGTTATGTACTTATTTTGTAAAACCTAACAAAAATGTATTAAAAAAAATGTTCAGGCAAGAATACACAAATGTTATTCATTATTGTTGCAATCACACAATCAACCAAATTTCTGTCTCTACTAACCAATCTTTATCCTATATAAATGTTATTCTAATAATTTACGCAAACCATTTCTTTGTAAAGGTTTTATATGCTTCTCAACTGGCAAGATTTCCCATCACTTCCTATCTTGTTTGACACCCTGCATCAAACATGAAATTAGAGCCAGCAATAAAACCCTGAAAAAGACTCTAACCCTTCTTTTCCATTTAAAGAAAAAGAAACAATTGCCTATAATAATATAATTTTTATATTACTTTTTTTTTTTTTTTTAAACCAAACTTAAAAATGTTAAAATTCAATAAAAAAGGACAACAAACCTTGAACTCAGATTGCTGAGGCCAAACTTCTTGGCTAGATTTTGCAGCATTTTAACAGGGCTATTTTCTTCACTAACATATTTACTTTTTTTGGACGGCTTTGTTTTGCCCTTCTTCTTGTCACTGTCTGTACAGATCTGGCTGTTCTTGTACACCTCATAGGCAGACTTGCTTTTAACATCCTCGTGAAAACAAATCTTCTGGAAATCTGAAATGATGGTATCTTGATTTAGTTCTATATTTTCTTTGAGGATAAATCTGGGTTTGTGACCGTGGATCAACATATCACATGTGTCAGTGTAGACAAACTGCAGGATGTAGGTGAAAAGCGCTGGAGGGACTTTCTCAAGGACAAACAGATCACATCCTGCTGAATCCTCTCCATTATGGTAGAGCTCTAGAAAGTCAGCTTGGTTGCTGTCCCCAGAAAAAAACAGCTTGCGGAAGTAGTCACATTTCAAGGCCAAAATGTACTTGTGTGCAGGAAATGTCTGGGAACCCAGCAAAAAAGTCACATCATGAATGTTGTCCATCTCATCTACTTCTTTAAGCAGCTTATCGAAATCTTCAGCAAAAATTGAGGAAGACACCACAGGGACTTCAAAAAGGCTAAAATGCAAAACAAAACATCAGCTTAAACTTGTGTGTTTAATGATAAATTGATACAAAAATTCCCTAGCACATTTGTCAACATTTTAAGTTTCTGTTGTATACATTTGCAAATACATGTACAGCTGTTTAAAGGCAGCCTAGAAGAGTGTGTACCCAATTCTTAGCTTTATGTCCCAACTTGGTGCTTTATATATACAGTATATACTGTATACAGCAATGCATACATGGTGAGCAGGTATTTCTTAGAGATAGCTTCTTCCCTAAAGCCTCCCTAAAGTGATACTCCAGCCCCACATTCTCCTGAATAAATGTGTCAGACATCCCCTCTAAGTGTTTAAACTGGTTGTAAAGGCTCAAGGTTTTTTACCTTCATGCATTCTTTGCACGTCTGATTGTCAATGAACACAGAGCAGTGGCTCGGTAGTGAGCTTGCTCAGGTGCCCCCACAGCAAGCTGCTTGTGGAGGCACTTGACAGGAGGGAGGAGCCAGGTGCATTGGCGGGGAACCCAAGGAGGATGGGAGCTACATTTGCACAGAGTAGCCAATGGTGATGCCCAAGAAAGAAATTCTGTAGACAGGTGTCTTTCATACACAAAACGAGTTGTCGTTCGGAGCACCTTCTTAAATTGACTAATCTGTGTACCACATGAGCACATAGCCAGTCTGTGGGAGCCAGAATTATTGATGGTTGGTAGGGGATCAAATACTGATTTTACTCACTGTACGGCAACTCAATTTATAACATTTGTATCGTGTTTTTTTTGGTTGATATTTTGTCTCTATCATTTACAATAAACCTATGATGAAAATTATAAACCCTTCATGTTTTCGTAAGCGAACAAACTTACAAAATCTGCAGGAGATCAAATAGTTATTTTCCCCACGGTGTGTGTGTAGTTGTGCGGGACAACTTTCGCCTAAGCAATCCAAAATCTAGGTACCCAACCCCCCTATCAAAAAAATGCCCAAAAGAGTTAGTGGAGGTGGGGGGGGGGGGGGACATAAAGTGGAGGGTGAAATTCTGCTTTAAAGTTTAAAAACCCTTTGTCTACAAGGTATGTTTAGAAATGTTCTAGCATCCATATTGCTGGAACAGGATTTTCACTTTGATTTGAAGTGTTGCCTTAGAGACTTTTATACGGGTTTTCTTTTCACTTACTGTTCATGTACTTTATGTTTTGTGGATTTTTAGCACAGATTTATTAATTAAATATATTTTACACTAAGGTTTTGTAGTTAGGTTTTTTTTTTCTTTAAAGCGCTGTATCATATACTGTAAATCTATTCATATACAGCACCTAGGATACCTAGGGGGAAACAGATGCCACTCAAACAAACCCACATGGATTCAATGAAGAATGTTGGCCTCAGTTCTCACTCCGCCCACACCTTCTGACACATTTCGCTCCGCCCTTCGAGGCTTGGCTGGAGTGAGAGCTGAGGCCAACATGAACATTCCTCACTGAATCTATGTTGGTTGGCTTGTGTGACATCCAATTCCCCAGTGTTTTCTTCACAATCCTGGATTAATGTTAGGACATCTGCACCAATCTTCAGAGTATGGGCAAAAGTTAACCCACATTGCCTGACTGAGTGGCGCTGCAAGCCTGTCATCACCTAGCATACCTAATTATTTAAATATATATATTATATATAAACACACACACACACACACTATCTCACAGAAGTGAGTCCACCCCTCACATTTTGTTAAATATTTTATTATATCTTTTCATGTGACAACACTGAAGAAATGACACTTTGCTACAATGTGTAGTACAGTAGTGAGTGTACAGCTTGTATAACAGTGTAAATTTGCTGTCCCCTCAAAATAACCCACAGCCATTAATGTCTAAACCGCTGGCAACAAAAGTGAGTACACCCCTAAGTGACAATGTCCAAATTGAGCCCAATTAGCCATTTTCTCTCCCAGGTGTCATGTGACTCCTTAGTGTTACTCAGGTGTGAATGGGGAGCAGGTGTGTTAAATTTGGTATTAACGCTCTCACTCTCTCATACTGGTCACTGGAAGTTCAATATGGCACCTCATGGCAAAGAACTCTCTGAGGATCTTAAAAAAAGAATTGTTGCCCTACATAAAGATGGCCAAGGCTATACGAAGATTGCCAAGACCATGAAACTGTGCTGCAGCACGGAGGCCAAGACCATACAGCGCTTTAAAAGGACAGGTTCCACTCAGAACAGGCCTCGCCATGGTCAACCAAAGAAGTTGGGTGCACGTGCTCAGCGTCATATCCATAGGTTGTCTTTGAGAAATAGACATATGAGTGCTGCCAGAATTGCTGCAGGGGTGGGGGGGGGGTTAGCCTGTTAGTGCTCAGACCATACGCTGCACACTGCATCAAATTGGTCTGCATGGCTGTTGTCCCAGAAGGAAGTCTCTTCTAAAGATGATGCACAAGAAAGCCCGCAAACCGTTTGCTGAAGACAAGCAGACTAAGGACATGGATTACTGGAACCATGTCCTGTGGTCTGATGAGACCAAGATAAACTGATTTGGTTCAGATGGTGTCAAGCGTGTGTGGTGGCAACCAGGAGAGGAGTACAAAGACAAGTGTGTCTTGCCTACAGTCAAGCATGGTGGTGGAAGTGTCATGGTCTGGGGCTGCATGAGTGCTGCCGGCACTGGGGAGCTACAGTTCATTAAGGTTGTCAAACGAGATCAGAAGAGACTGGGCAGCAGGACAGTATTCCAACATGATAAAAACCCCAAACACACCTCCAAAACGACCACTGCCTTGCTAAAGAAGCTGAGAAGGGTATGGACTGGCCAAGCAGGTCTCCAGACCTAAACTCTATTGAGCATCTGTGGGGCATCCTCAAATGGAAGGTGGAGGAGTGCAAGGTCTCTAACATCCACCAACTCCATGATGTCGTCATGGAGGAGTGGAAGAGGACTCCAGTGGCAACCTGTGAAGCTCTGGTGAACTCCATGCCCAAGAGGGTTAAGGCAGTGCTGGAAAATAATGGTGGCCACACAAATTGACACTTTGGGCCCAATTTGGACATTTTCACTTAGAGGTGTACTCAACTTTTTTGCCAGCGTCATTTCTTCAGTGTTGTCACAAGAAAAAATAGAATAACATATTTAAAAAATGTGAGGAGAGGAGATGGGAGAGAGAGAGAGAAGGGGAGAGAGAGAGAGAGAGAGAAGGGGGGAGAGAGAGAGAGAGGGGGGAGAGAGAGGGGAGAGAGAAGGGGGAGAGAGAGAAGGGGGGGGAGAAGGGGAGAGAGGGGGGAGAGAGAGAGAAGGGGAGAGAGGGGGGAGAGAAGGGGGGGGAGAGAGAGGAGGATAGAGAGGGAGAGAGAGAGGGGGGGAGAGAGGGGGTGGGAGAGAGGGGGGGAGAGAGAGGGGGGGGAGAGAGGGGGGGGAGAGAGGGGGTGGGAGAGAGGGGGGGGGAGAGAGGGGGGGAGAGAGGGGGGGAGAGAGGGGGGGAGAGAGGGGTGGGGAGAGGGGTGGGAGAGGGGGGGGAGGGGGAGAGGGGTGGGAGAGAGGGGGGGAGAGGGGAGGGGGGGAGAGGGGGGAGAGAGGGGGGGAGAGAGGGGGAGGAGAGGGGGGGAGAGAGAGGTGGGAGGGGGGAGAGAGAGGCGGGAGGGGGAGAGGTGGGAGGGGGGAGAGAGAGGCGGCGGGAGGGGGAGAGGGGGGGGAGGGGAGAGAGAGAGGGGGGGGGAGAGAGGGAGAGATGGAGAGAAAGAGAAAAGGAAAGAGAGAGAGAGAGAAGGAGAGAAAGAGAAAAGGAGATAGAGAGAAGGAGAGAGAGACAGACACACACGGGGGATGATTAGCTCTAGTGGTAGATGCTTCCAACAAAGTGAGTCCACGCTAGTCCGGGACTCTTTTTCAGGGTCCACTTTTATTAAAAAGACAAGACATCTTTAATGCACACCGCCTTGAGCCCTTTTGATGCCCACAGATTTGAGCCCTTTTGATGCCCACAGCATCTGTCTCACATAGAGACTAACAATGGCAGCCACTGCTCCAACTGCACTCCACTCCCCCCCCTGCAAGTCTTGGCAGACCATCATTGTAAGGGCTGTGATCACCTGGTCCCACAAACTGCTGGTTGACTACAAAATCTGGACACTGGATTGGAGATTTCTTCCCCTCCAAGGCACTTTGAAATTTCAAACTACGGAGCCTCATCCAGAAATATCAAAATCCGGAGAAACCTGCAACAGCAGTTGTCTCCACTCAAAATCTACGCTCCGCAGTTCTCCACACGTGCAGACCCTGTGTTTATTACCTGACCATCTCTACCTACTCTCTTTTTTTTTTTTTTTTTTTTTAACAAATTCTTTAGTTGCAGCTTGACATCAGTACAAGCATAACAGTATCCACAGAGATATACAGCATACAAGAACATATTACAGCAAATATCAGCAGTAAGTCATTGTAGATCAAAGACAAATAGGACGTAGACCAGATTCTAAACAGCCATCGCACTCTCGAACTAAATCACTCAAGGCAAAACAAAGCACATAAAAAGATGATCAAAATATTTTAGGACACTTAACTCTAGATCAGAAGGGTACCTGTGCCTCCAGCTGCACCGCACATTTTTCCATTTTAGACAGAAGAGAGGCCCCAAAAGGGGCAAAAGTATACAATCAGAAAATCCACAAGGGGAAAGAAAAACAAAGAAAAAAATATGATAAGGAGAAAGACAAGAAAAGACAAGGATAGGGCACAGAAGGGGGAATACATACAACACCATCTCCTCCTGGGCCAAACCCACAGCTTCTTAGGACCAAGAGCAGAACCCCAAAGAATTATACCACTAGGGAAGCATGTTCCTCAGAGTATATAAACTCGTGCCAATAATACCATTTCTAAAGGAAGCGTTGCCGATCAACCCTGTCTGTTGCCACCATATCCTCCATAGCATTAATTTCTGCCACTCTCCGCAGCCATACCGAAATAGTTGGGGCCTGCATCTGTTTCCAAAACATAGGGATGCAGCTCTTTGCTGCAGTC